CACACACACACACACACACACACACACACACACACACAATCTCCAACGACATACACAGATATTTTGTTTTTAAACTCATTTCAGTTACTTTGTGAAAATATTCAACGTTGCTTCAATAAAACTTAAAAAATTATTTCTATGCAAAGTGGGTTTTTAAACAAGAACAACACCCTTAGAGGAAAAAAAATAAAGGTTTGTTGATTAAGAATAAATCTCCATCAAAAACTTGTCCAGACCGACAACGTCTGAGCATTCCCCCCTCCACCTCCCCTCCATTCAGTCAAGCTGTGCCCCACCTGCAATGGCACTGCAGGGGAGCGCCCCACACTTTGGGAACCGTTGCATTAGTGGATGTTTGTGAGTCAAGTTTAGATCTTTGAGCTCAGAGATCATTGATACATGAGAAACACGATAAAATTAGTACTTGTCTGGACCAAACCTGATCTGTCAAATTCATCTAAAACAAGGTATATTTCAACCCAAACTAAGCTGGAACAAATAGAGGTGACCTGAGGCTGATGTTCTTAAACAAACCTTGTGTTCATCGGACACTTTTGACTTTTGAACTGCTCTTTAGAGCAGGTTGGGACTGAAATATTACACACAAATGGTCTTTTAAGTGTTTGCTGATAATAGAAAATCTAAGCTCATTATTTAGTCTTCTTTAGCACAGATGGATTCAGTCATATGAGATAACCGTGCATACATCAACTATCCAAAACAGACTAGATTTTACTCTAACAATAAATGGATAGCAAGCACTGGCGCTGACACTCCTATGATCAGGATCAGGACTCGATGTTAAATCAGAAGTTGGTCAAGTTTTTCACACTGATCGACTGCCCAGTTCATGAACAAAAATATTTTGTTTGTTTCATGATGAAGGATTTTGTCTATAATGGTGTAAAATTGATTTCAGTCTATTTTAACTGGACAGAATACCAATGGAGAGAAGCTCTTTCGGCTGGTTCACAAACAAAATGTGGATCAAGTCATTTTTCCAATGTTATGTGGTTGAAATTTGTCTGCTTTTACCTGCCTGGCTTCATTTMACCAGACAAATCCCACTGAGATCAAATATGTCTTTTGCAAGGGAGGCCTAGAAACCATAGTAGCCAAAGAAAACACAGTGACCAGGATCAAACCCAGGGCATTCTTGTTGTGAGGAAGCAGTGCTAACCACTAAACCCACTGCGCTGCGAAGTAGCTTCTTCTTCTTCTACTTAAAAGTAGAGTTGACCTCACACATGCAGTATACCAATGAAATCCAGTCAAACAGCTGAGGAGGCCAAGAAATCTGAGATCACATTTGGACATCAGCTCTTAATCCTGCCTCGTTTCTTTCTCTATAAGAGCTACGATTACAAAAAATAAACATACTGCGTCACCACACAAAGAGAGTTGTGAGTGTTGTGATATAATACAAAGTGAGGACTGAGGAAAATAAGGCTTTATCTAATATTATTATCGCACTGCTTAACAATATCACAAGAACAAATCACATCAGAACAGAAGAAAAACAAACAAACAAAAACAACACTTATCTGGTTCTTCAATCATTTTAAATTGCATTGCTGGTGTCAGTGCTGGGAAATTATTGGTGAGTGGTGTTGAAACAATGTTCGGAGGTTTTACAGGGACGGGACTCACTCAGCAAGTTTACAGTAACTAATATTTGACTGGAGTTTGTGACATCAGGTATGACTTGTAAGAGGGCCATCACTTTTACTTCACCAAGTTTTGCTGAATTCGGCAAATTTACTGTACGACAGTGGTTTGACAGATTGAGGTACGGAAGCCGAGAGTGGCCGTTTTCCACTTATACAGTAATTATATTCCATGGTTTTCTCATTCACGAGATAACAAAGACCGTTTTGCCGTGATAACAAGTTAATTTCCAGATGGTTTTCCTCATGTGTATCATTCAGTAACCATGGAGACAGAATTGGCTGTTCATCAGTTTGTTTATCTATCTATCTATCTATCTATCTATCTATCTATCTATCT